AGCAAATAATGATGTCTGTTGATTCAGCTTTCATCGTGACAGCTTTTTGTTAGTTTTTAGAAGGTCAATTATGGGTCAAACAAAAACTGGGTAAGTGATGAACAAGACATGGTTTCCATTTTCCAAGAAGTGAATAAGTGCTGATAAAGAAATGTTTTTTCTTGAAACCGGGAGTGCATGTGAGTTAGAAAAAGAGGAAAAACTAACAGTGTTAGTTACGGAAAACATTTAAATTTCGGGGTATTGAAAGAAAAATATACACAAAATTTTAGAAAACTTGACAAATATGGGTAACTAAACCCGTTTAAAATAAGTTTCTAAACAAAATTGAAAAAAAATTGGAGAAGATGAACATTCACGTTTTCCTAGACTACCTCAAAGTAAGAATCATTCGAAAACGTAGTGGTCTAAACAATCAGGCTCTGGATTCTCACCCAATAAAGTAATCTGTGCAAACAAAATGGTAAATTCAGATTGAACACACACAGTATGCTTCTGACCGTGCAAAAAAAACACAACGTTTATAGTATTTGATAATTGGTATTCAAAAAATGACGTTTTTTCCACTGGCGTTTTTTTATTGGTTTTTAACATGCAACTCATTTTTTCAAAAAACTTCTCCTCAGATCGCTCAATTTGGGAAGGTTTTTTATTTTGTTTTTTATGATTTGGGGAAAATGCATTTCTTTTCCCAGTAGTTCCCAAAATTTATGAAAATGAAACACGTTTTTCAGAACGCCTTATTTGGAGTGAATGTGGATAATATAGAGTGCGAATAGAAACCGGCTGGTCTGAAATTGTGAATTGATGATTGAAATATGTCATTCGAAAAATTGAAAGTGCTACTTGTGGAGGAGGAAAAATCAAAAAAAAATAAGTGTGATGACTGATAAGCGTGTCGTTCCAGGATTTAGGAGGGCAAGGAGGTTGAAATATGTTAGATTCAGAATTTTTTTACTCTGTGGCCACTCGAAACTATCAACAAAAAAAGAAAAAAAGATTAGCCCACGGGGGGACTCGAACCCCCATGCCCGGTTCCGGAGTCCGATGCCTTATTCTTTAGGCC